AATTTTTTTTCATAAAATGGGTAATTAATTCCAAAGTATCAAGGCGTGATAAATAATCAAGGTGATTGAAAGTAGCAAAAATATAGGGTAACTATATGGTAAAACTCATGGAATTTTAGATAGGTTGTTGCATAATTGATGTTAACTGGGATGAAGAGAAGAGAAAACGAATTATTATGTCAAGTGGTGAATTGTTGACGGTAATATACGACAAGAAGGGGAAGAGTGCAAACGCTGAAAATGTCAGATGGTTGCATGTGAATGTGTATATTTTGTTTTGAGTTGTGAATACGATTTCATTCGTGCTGTTAAATGCATTTTTTTTGCAGCATTTACTTATTGGTTGATTTATTCATTATACCTGTTATTATTTAACCTATGTATTTCTATTTATTTATTGTTTTTTTTAATGTTATTTTGCACTCTGGTATATTATATGTACGTTTTTCATCGCGGATACTATTTTTTTCCGTATATGTAGGCGCTACACTGTATGGAATTACTTGACTAAATTTCTCCACTCTCTGAATTACTTCATCAGTTATGTATGCCGATCATTGCATTTTCAGTTATTTGTTTCTTGTCTGTTGGTGATCCCTGAATTTTAGCTGTTAGTAGGTTGGTAAGCGTAGACCAGTCAGCTGCATTATGCTTGTGACGGTGAGCTGACTTTTGTCTGAGTGCTTTCAGTGTTAGTACAGAAGAACATCCACCGTCTGTTTGACTAGATTTCAGCCAGTTGAATTGATGAGTGAAGGTGCATGAAAGGTATCATTCTCCCGTTATGATCTGTCTGCGTGTTGTTGTTTCGTGTTGTCTAGAAATTCATTTTCCCAAATGACTGGATGTTCACTTCGTTTGACAAGGTGTTTGAGATTTATGCACAGCTCAATCACCACTGTTATCTGAGTGTGTTTGGGAGAGCTGCTGGCATAACTGTTAGTTTTCTTCGGGTTTTGTAAGGTAATTGCTGAGATGAACTTATATCCTGTGGTTGGATGACGCTGTCGTCGTTAAGCAATCCTTGTGCCATTTTCACACGGTCTGTCCATCACTTGAGGACGGCCTCTCCTTTACTGCGATGGGAGTATTACAACAGTCCTTTCACTGAGTTGGGACTACGTGCACTCGTTTACCACGCTTTCAGCAGTTTTTGATTTACTTCCAGTTTCAACAGAGCGATGTAGTGCAGTTCATGCTGGTATTCAGCAGTCAGCCGTACAAATTCCAACAATAAGGCTTGATGATGCACAGAATTCCAGTTTTCTCCACTCCCAGGGTTGCAGTCCGGTCTCCTATGCAGTACTATCCATGACTGCAGCACTCATTGGTATGCGAACGGTGCTCTAAGGTTGACATCGGTCCCACATAGATTTCTCATGCACCTTGGTGACGATTCACAGCAATCATGAAACTTCGGTCAAGCAGAGCTCCCTGCCGACCGCCTCCAACCAATCACGATTAGAAGGCGCCCGTCACATGTAAAGCAGAGATATCCAACAACCATTGATTGCTAACTCTGTCATTGTGTCAGGATATCGGTTAATGTTTTCCTTTAGTCAATATTCATCTTTTGTGCAACTCAGTCGTTACAGTATTTTTCAAAACGTTTCCTCTGCAAGTCCCATCATCAGATGTGCTTTCTTGTGTGGGCTAGTCGAATAGCAAGCATGTTGAAAGTAACCATGGATGGCGAATATGCCTTCAAAATACTTGGTATGGAATATGATCTCAATGAATACATGCCATATACCCGCACATTCAAGTTCCCCAATCAAAGCACACAGTCATCTCAGCCTAGATCCGAAGTCTGACTTGCGAGGAAGCAGTAAGTCTAGTCATTTAAAATGAAAAATGGAAGGGACGTCTTCTGATGCTTTGTTTTCGTGTAACACAAGTAGTTGAGAAGCACTGATATGTCTTGCAATATGGAGTGCTACTTCACCATATTAACCAGTGATCTCGTCTGTTCACACAGTCACAAGCTACGCCAATTTCAGTGGGCATCAACTGACAGTTTGTGACTTATCGGACCACTTCATTCCTCACATGTGATGTATTGCGCTGTGTTATTATATGACGTCTGACATTCTTCACATTTCAAACTGCTCTATTCTACTAAGTAGTGTCTCATGCTCACTTACTTCATACAAGCTGGAAATGGCCGATCGAAGACAATTCCGTTGACACACACACACACACACACACATTCACATGACTCACTATTCTCAGCGTGATCCGAGGTGAACATTTCGTTATCTCACCACTCTCTTCTCTCTCTACTCACTTTTCACATGTCTACAAACCGTGAACGAATCCAACGTGCAATTCCGTCACCACACAATCGACTGAATCAATGCGAAATGCAAGGTGTGATGGTGAAGACAGTATCCTTAGGTGAGTTCAAATAGGACACTATTTGTATTTCCATTGATATTTACATGTGTATTTTATCAGCTCACTCCACATTGGCTAGTGTTGATCCAGTTTATCTGACGCATAGTTCATCATCAAGAATGGAAAAGTCACTGTCCTTCGACAATTCAGTATGTGTCAGTCAAAATCTCACTGCTTCATTCCAATTTGTCTGATAGACATCCCATCTCCCTCCATGTTCACAGGATTCGGATTTGTGAATTCCACACGGGGAATGACTCCTACTTATGACGACGTTGTTAACTCCACAGAGGCACACAGGACTCTGAAGGAGAACAGATGGATGTCATCCTCATAGGTAATGACTCACCGGTTGTACTGTGACGTTAATTTGGGTGTAGGTGAGGTGTTGTAGTGTCTAGGAACAGGTGAGCCGTATACATACTACACAGCTGTCGTGAAACGCACATTGTTCAGTGTTGCTCAGTCATTTCACATGATGCCCTCATTGAACCGGATGATACAATAACTGAACGGTAATTTCCGTGAGTCATCGTGAATGCCTCAGTGTTTTGTGTGCATGCCTCTTGTTTATTGCCTTTCAACGGTGGTGGAATATTTGTAGAAGGGAGAATGATGACAGGCTCGTCGAATCGTTAGTTGACAGTGAGATGGTTGTTGCACTGAGTTGTGCCAGGAAACCAGGCGAATGCACACACATGATGAGGGCGGCTAGTCTTCACCACAACACGCAGGATGCATTGCATAAACACACTCTACATAGCAATCAGGTCAAGACTGCCTTTCTAAAACTGACATGCTTCAATGTGTAGACAATGTGATAAGCAGTGGTTTCATTCTCTTCTAGTGATCTCATCACCCCTGACGAAATCGAATCAATCCGTGCAGTGGAACGACAGTCTGTTGGACCCATCCACGGCCTTATATCAGGAATATGCTTCAGAATTGTGTGATCTGGTAAGATGACTTTCTGTTTGTTTTTTTTATCATATGCATTGGTGCACGTGAATGGGTGATTGTTACGTGAGCAGTTTGACCTTACTGGGTGGTGTGTGAATTGGTGTTGTGACCTGATGGTATTCAGCTTAGGAGACATTGACATTGTGGGTCTGGTGGACTCAGTTTTGTTCTGAAGTGGTGTGCTGGTGTTATGAAGCACCGATGGTGATTTTCATGATGCCATATGGATCACGTGACTGTATAATGAGCCCGTGTCTCTTCTGATCAATTTCACTCAGATTCTATTTGGAATTTTACGCTTTCTGACACATCACAGGTGAAGCTGAATCACGCAGAAGAGTATTGCTCTGTGGTGCATTTCTGATTTGATATGTCATATTATGAATCCCTATTTACTTACGGTTGATATATTTAATTCAACTGGCAATGTGCTTATTTTTTCTTTTGTCGAATTTCGACACGTCTTATTAGCCTGATAATCTAGTAGGCGCTATAATGATATGTCAGTAAAGATGAGCCGGTTGAACGCAGTCGAGTGAAGTAATGCTTTGGAATTAGAAATCAGGAAACACTTAGTATGACTACTCTCAGGTCATTTCGAGATCATTTCATCTAGAATGTCAGACTTTCGCTGTCTCTCGGTACATGGATCTCAGTCGAAAATTTTATATTCCCGTACATTGCTCAAACCAATAGTCAAGGATTTTATGCACTGATGTCATGTTTTGGTTCTGCCACTCCTAACGTCCTATCAGACTAAGCCTACTTTTGACAACGTTGTGAGAAAAAAAAGGGGACTAGGCATGCGTAACACATGTCCCAGTCACTGGAGTCATTAAATGTTCGCCACCTCATCAGCTGACTTCCCTCTTCTCCGTAAAACTCTACACCCGACTTCAACATTATTGATGCGGTGACCCTATGACACGGGCTATACTGCAAAGACAGTGGTCTTCAGGATCCTACACCCTTATCATATTCTCTACCTTTGATGACCGTGTTTCATAGCCATGTAGTAGAATAAAGCGAACTGCACGGTAGTACACTGGACACCCAGTAGATAATGGTATATCATGGCGGCGCCATAAACAGCGTAAGTTGGCAAAAGTCAAGCTGGCATTTTGTATCCGTGTTGAGATTTCGTTGGCCACTGACCAGCGAGGGCTGACCCAACTAGCCGGATGAGGGAAGTGGTCAATGTACTCAACCATTTCACTCCTTACTGTCAGTCACCACTGAAAGCCAGTCCTAGGGGAACAGTTTACATTTGATTGACGAGAAACGCTACCCAAGCATTTTCAGAATGTTACAATCCGCATTTCACACAATGTGATTTCATCGCACCACAGAATTGTAGAGTACCGCTGGATAGAATCTTGCTGTGATTCGCCTTTTCCTTTCACATTCAGTCACCACCACACATCACAACTATGAGTATGTCAAACCACGACCAACACTCTCTGATAGTCTCACCAACTATCGCGAATGTTGGCCCTTGAGACCTGGGACACGACACCGATTATTGACTGTTTCGCACCACACTCTCACCGAATGACACATCCAATCAATTTTGTCTCCCACTGACACTCTCGTTGCCTCCCCTCTTCCCTCCTAAGCTCGTGAACAGCATGAAGTCAGCCAAGGTCAGTGGACTCATCACGGTCACCTGCACAGTTGTTGGCTTCTCACGTGGATCAGTCATTGGAAATGCAACACTGACCATTGAGCACGACATTTCCAGTGAGAGTTTCGCAACGACCGCTGCGATAGGAAGCACTGTTCGCACCGCCATCGTGCAATATACAATAGAATTAGTTGCCAATGGATCTGATAACGTGTACTTTGGCACATCGAATGAAATAACGATAGAAGGTGAGTGGAATGACTGTGTTAATTTTTGTGCAATGTGTGTGTGATGGAGAAGTGTTGATTTTGACGAAGTAGGAGAGTGTGTTTGGTGTTCAGTTGGTCGTTTAATTTTGTGGCTAGTAGCTGTTACAACGGAATGCACATTATGTTTGGTTTTTCAATGAACTAGTTTTAGTCATGCAGTTTTCATCGAATTTCGGAAAGTGGTACTCGTGTGTTATAAATCCAGTCCTTTTTTATCAAACCTTCTTTATTAGCTCGAGCTTTCTCTTGCTTAGAATTCTTGAAGTGATGAGTTTGATGTGATCATCATATGGTTTCTTTATGTGACATCGCTATCCATTCTTCATGGTTAGCTTGGTTGATTTATCTCTGCATTATATAAAAGTAACGTCCAATTTCTTTGGTAATATGTTCTCTTCATTTGATTTCTGAATCTCTTGATTTTGTATTCTGCAGCTCAACTAGACTGAAAATTCTAGCTGACGTGGTTATCGTGCTTGTATCGCAATTTTTTTCCACAGTTTGTATATCATCCAGTGGTCGCCACCTTAATTTTGAATTGGGCTGAAATAAGTATAGTGCCACCCAATCATTGTATTATTACTATTATTACTATTATTGTTATTATTATTTGTCCCTTAGGTCTACAATGGAACATAGGGCTTCAGTAGCACGTCGACATTTCACTTTGTTCTCTGCAGTCTTTTTAACCTAGCCTCACGACTACCCAGAAGCCTTTCTGCCACCATCTCCTCCTTGCCACCCTTGCCTCGGATGTCCAACTCGTCGTTTCCCCTTCGAATTTAACTCGAGGGCCTGACCTGGTGCGTGTTATCCCCAAATTGTCTTCTCAGTGTATGCTAAATTTTTTCTCCGTCGACGCTGTCAAAGGCTTTTTGAAAATCGATGAAGTTGAGGTAGAGTTGACTGCCATTCTGTTCTACGATGATGAGCAGCGTAGCGTTGTAATTTGTTCCACTTCGTTCCGGTCGTAATTTTTAGTCCAGACCATTTTTTGTTCTCTCCAGGATGATGTGGCTTAATATTTTGCTTGGGATAGACAACAGCATGATTCCTCGCCAGTTCTTGCAAAGGCGAAAGTCACCCTTGTTTGGGGGTATGACAAGGTGGCCTTTCATCCAATCTGCAGGTACCTTTCCTTCCTTCCCTGCAAACCTCCTGCAGTAGTGGTGTGAGCATGTCCGCTCTTGTCTCTGCGTTTGTTTTCAGTGCTTCTAGAGGAATTCTATTTGGTCCTACTGCTTTCCTGAAATTCAGCAGCACTATGGTGTTCAGGACTTCCGCGCTTGTGTTCACTGGTAATCCTGTGGTTGGGCTGCTGGTGATATTTCTAGATGAGTTGCAAGTGGTGGTGGTTGACTGAAGAGTTTTCTGAAGTGGTAAGCCTATCGTTTCCTTTGTTTCTCCTCTTTAGCGGTAACTAAGTCTCCCTTTCATTGGTTTCATCTGCGTTGATCTCTTCCATCCCAGATATCAACCTGGTTATTTGATGTAATGTTGTCAGGTCTCTGTTTCTCCTACCTGTAGCCTGTTCTGCTTCACTTGCAAAGTGTATCGCAGAAGTGCCTTTCGTTTTTACGCACCCTATTCTTCACATCTTTGTCCGGTGTTTTATATGTTGTATTCAGTCCCTCTTTTCGTTGTTCATCCCTGGAATGCACTGGTTCATCTTTTGCTTCACCAACACCATCTTCCTGTCTCTGCTCTATCAGCTTCCATGTGTCCGTCGAAATCCATTCCTTATCTCCTTGCTTCTTCCTTCTTAATACGGTTATGCAGGTATCCTTCACCATCTCTTTCAAAGAGTTCCAGTGTTCTTCCGCTCAGCTATCTTCATGGGTTTTGCCTAATGTCTCCTATTATATCCTGATGACTGACTGACATGAAAGATGCTCTTTGTAGTTTCGTGCTTCACTTTCTGTTCCAGGTGTTGAACTTGAACTGTACTCTATCGCAAACTTCTGAGCAGGCTTTCAACATGATTTGAAGGTAGGTTCCTTGCACTTGATAGTGAGTGGAGTGAAACTGCATCTGCTCCCTTTCCTGATCTTGTGTCCAGTAGGCTGCGTCTCCACTTTCTTCACACTGAAATGAAGTCGATCTGATTTTTAGTGTGTCCTGGTATCTAGTGAAATCCATGTCACTTTTTGAATATCATTGTGTTTGTAAACACTACCTCCAATCATCAGATCGTTGAATGCACAGAAGTCTGCAAACAGTTTTCTACTCTTATTCATTTCGCTGAGCGCTTCTCGGCAGTTTGGCATTCATGTCACCCCACCCATTAGAATTTTGATGTCGCCAACTGAAGTCTTGTCCAGTACTGACTGATTGCAGATGTCTGTGGAATTCCTCCTTCTTCTCTTCATCTGCATTTTTTGTAGGTGAGTAGCGTAGCGTAGCATTGTATGACTATGACTTTCCTTCCTTCTGAGTTGAATCTTGCTGTCATGATCCTTGAGGAGGAGGAGATTGGTTGTCACTGCATGAAAGAGAGGCATCGATGCTCTTGGGATGGGGGAGTCATGATAGTCACTCCAGAACTCAGTGTGCTCGTAGTTGCCGTCCGGATGACAATACTGGAGTCGATTGTTGACTCTTCAGTTGGCAATTTGTAAAGTTCACTTCCATTCCATCTGCTTTCGCAGTTTCAAAGCACTTCCATGCCATACCTCCTCATCTCTTTTGCGATCTGTGCATCCTTACCAGGTTCAAACATGGTGCGGACATTCCATGTCCCCATCTTTACTTTTGCTTTCATCGATAAAAGAGAAGACACACCAGCCAATCGGCTTCCCGAAGGCTTCCACCAACCGGCGTCATTTCGTCTCTCCGATTCCAGTGAGGAATAAGTTTGTTTTTATTTTTTATAATTTCTTTGTGCTTTGAAGTTTCTTTAGCGATCGAATTGGTTTTAGGGGTAGGGTTACTAGCCCTATGCTCAATCTTCCTCCTTTATATGGGCTTAGGACAGGCTATTAAATTAGTGAACTAATAAACTAGGCGAGGTTCCCATTCATTGTAGATAATAAATCTATTCAATCGAGGATATTTCGTATTCATTCATATATTTCGTGGTGATATAGGATAACACTATTATCCATGTAAGTGAAGACATATGGGTATACAAGTAAACACGGGATCGCTATTCAAACAAGTTCATTAGAAGATGTGACAATATTCATCCTACCCTATTCATTAACAAGTGGTAGGAATATCGTCAAATGGCTTCCTATTTTGAATTCAGTTTGGTGAGGGTAGCACTAAACAAGACCTGTCTTTATACCTGAAGTTAGTGCTGGTCAGAAATAGGTAGCTGTTTGAGCTCATTAGCAGAAGCCATCTCAGTTATCCATTAGTTCGGCTAGGATTCCGAAAGTGACACCAAAATATCTTTCTGCCTGGATTCGTTTACCCACTTGTGCATTGAAATCACGTGTCACAATAACCGCATTTGAACCAAGGCAGCTTATTAACAGACTAGAAGGTATTTACCAGAACACACTTTACACAGTCCACAATGCAATCAATAAATGAGTAAACAGAGGTTACAAAGGTACAACGTTCAGTATGCCATTTTTTATAGTTTTCACTGCACCATTTAGTCACGCAGTGCAAAGTTGGCTGTCGACTGAGATACAGTCAAGAAGTGCACTTTCTCCCTTATGATTTCGTTTTCCTTTTACAACTGTAAGGCAACAAGAACTAGTCATTAAATTCCCAGAAACTCAAATAGTAAATTTTGCAGAATTAATATGGTCCATGGTCTAGATGCCAGAATTCTGCCCAGCGAGGTGTATTTGCCAATGTGATGAAAGATGTGGACACGCACAGATACCACTGGAAGCTCTGAGTGTGATTATGGAGAATAGTGATGATATTCCGTGAGACGAAATCGTTATCAGTGGTCGAAAGCTTGAGGAAACTAAAGGTGACGTCAGAATACCTACATGTAATCGTGATGAAAGACAAAAGGACAAAGATATGCAAGATTAGCGGTGATCTGAGACAGTATGAGTGCTGATAGATGTGTGACGGTATGCAACAGTTCTGGGGTGCCCATAATACAAAATGTTACTTCTTCTGCTTTGGCTGCCTGAGAAATTGCGTCAACACAGAGGCAAAGAGACGTCCAAATGAGGCCTACAATACATAACCAGTTTTCATGTTCCAGCTTTAGCTTTGCATAAACTTCCAATAGAAAACTTACACCACCGTCGTCGGAGGACAGGCTTGGAAGGAAATGCGCTGTTTAGGGGCCAATCTTGAAGAAAGGATGCACAGCTAGCCATCATTAAAAGCATGAGCTTCCAGACAAAGACCAATGTAACTGGCAGTACAAATATAAAAATTCAACCCTGCAATATATCGAGGCATTCGACAAAATCAGGTCAAGCAATTCTGTATTCTCAATGCCCATTTGAAATTATGCAGAGATTTTATTGCCAACAACATCTTTCGCATAGATAGATCCTTTAGTAAAAATATCGACTTGCTGTGGATTTACAAATTACAGAGTCAAAAATAATCATGCCATCTTTATACAGCACTTTTCCCGATATTTATATTACCCGGTATATCAATAGATATGCACACGCATGTGTATAAACATGCACATGGTTTTATTGCCTTCGGATGAGTGCAGTGTATGCATGGTCATATACACACAATCTAAACTCTATAATTTCAACTGACTTCAATGAGCTGAATACTGACAATGAAGATATGCGACAGAGTAACTCATTTTTTTGTAATGTGTATGCGAACGTGGGTTTGATATTGAGGAAATTAAATGAAGGGATGGTTTATTTTTTCCTTGTTCTGACGTCAAAAAAGAAGTGATGACAGCAATTATTTATCAACTTCCAGCAAAATAAATGTCTCTCTGCATAACCTCTGAACTCGAAGGTGAGCACAATACAGAGTATCGTTGCATCAATGGAGGATGAGCACTGACGTGAAAACGCTTATAATATTAGGCTATATCCAGCAATATTAAAGGCAGTGATTTTCCCGTGACTGTGTGTTAAACTCACCCACTCACTCATGACAGAGGCAAAACGTTATACCTAAGGGTTACCACACTTGTCATAGGTTGTAGAGTAACTTGTGAAAATCGCTTATTTTCTGTTTTCTGTATGAATATTTTACCTATTTGTATAGTTTTTTAAATGCCATCTGTCACAATAGTGTTTCATACTGTTTATTCGTGTGCATGGTATTGGTTGCACTTCACTCTCAGGTGGAAAATAAGTACAGGTATTCAGGATTAATGATGCTCAAAGACAAATGTGAGTTAGTTGACACAGTATGCAGTATTCACCTCTGAATACATGTATATAAAACACGGAAATTCCCCTTTTTCACACAGAACGCTGTCAAACATGGGTATGAATTTTAGCCTCACCCACTTACTCTTCATGCATTTCACATTATTTACATCCATTCCTCTTGAATACTTTTCAGTCACAAATGAAAACACTAGAGTAACGGAACCAGTTGTGGATAGTCTGACTTCCATAACACCAAGCTCATCAAGTAAGTTCCCTACTCCGTGTATATTGACATTTTGAAGTAAGTGGTAGTGACTGATCTAAGGACGTTTTGTGAGATAACCAGTACCATTCATATGAAAATTAAAGATGATAGTTATTCGAATGTATAGGAAATCTCTCAGATTATGTACGAATTTCATATTTCGGTTCTGCGTTTTTCAAAACTTTAGGCATTGTTTACCGTAATCACCTTTACATTGCTAACATCACTCTTTCTGTTGTATGTCGCTCATCATAGTATGTAATAACTTCATACTGAAGTTAGTGCTGATGATATCGTCTAGCAAGGCGATGAAAGCTTCACGATTAAACAACCCAGCTCAGAGAACACAATACAACCAAGACCATCCCCCTGAGCTACAAATATTCTCCATTATTTCAAAATACATAGTATGTACTTTGTCACACCACAGAGTGATGAATTATTAGACAACAGATTCGTTAAAGACATGGGTATCTAAAGGCTTGTCACGTCTTTCTAACCAAATGAATCAAAATGATGTAGTCATCTACTTATTTTCGTTCTGTTAGCTTTTAAGTATTTTTTTTGTAGTATTTGCGTTGAATCTTGCTGTATCTTGATTTCTGCCAATCAAGAATCCCTATCTGGGGAATATAATGAATTTGTAAACCAAATGATTACACTGATTCACGTTTTCCTTTGGTAAACTATGCTTGATGATGTTTTCATGTACGTCGATTGATAGGCCTACATAATTACCTTAACATCAACATGTTGTTTCGCGAATGCCTATTGACAATCATCCGGTTTGAAACGGTTACTTTAGAAAGCGGATCAATTTGTCCGGTAAAACAGAAATGTGGGGAAACACCATTTCATTAATAGAAATTCAGAACGCAATCAGTTGCATACGGATTTTAAGAAAGTGAGATTCAGAATGAATAGACTCATTTTATTAAAGGAATGGTACAACACTATCAACTGGAAATCAAGAAAAATAACGGCACTGTATTTCATACAACCAAATGTATCCGTCAATGTGGCAGCCATCTATTTAGTCAAACCCAACTGGCCCTCCTCAGTAGCAAAGTGACTACGGAAAAGATTATTGAGGTCCTTCAGACAGCTGTGTTGGTAAATAAAAATTTAAATGTCATAATTGTTTGAAATTTTTGTAACCATTTATACGGATGCAAGAAAAACGTGTGGTACAAGATCGCAGACATTTTTAATTAGTTCAAGTTCTCTTGATAAATTTCTTTACTTTAAATGGTGCTATCAACCAGTATCTTTGTAATCATGTATCGGGCATTGATGACAGAAACTGAAGAAGTCTTAGTCACCATAAGATTCAGACTGAAGGACTCCATCGAAATTATATCCAGTGATTATGCCATATTATAGGTATAAAATAATTTATTGGGCAAACAGTTAAAACGTTTATCCGACTACCCATGTACCTGATGCTATCCAGAACTGAAATGCATTCTTTTAATTAAATCCAATGCCTCAAATAAGATACACCCGCTACTTATCTTGTTTAAATTATTAGTGTTCAACTGCACATTTAAAAAAAAATGAACATCGAAAATGATAACTGACAAATTTGTAATCAAAATGATTTCGAAGTGGGTTTCATAAAGTTATTGCAATCAGAAAATAAACATTGAGTTGCTCAGCAGTCATCATATTTTCAGCCTTCATCTATGCTTCATCACTTCACTTCATCTATACCGATCACTGATCATAAACCGTAGATAATATTTTCAGTGTGATTAGTATTTTCGCTATTGGCTGTCTTCTCTATCGAAACCTCAATAATGTTAATTCAGGTAGGATGGAACTGTCAATACGAATCGAGCTTCTCATAGGAAACAGATCAGTAGTATGGAATCCTGAGTTAACGAACAATATGTCTGCAGTTTATAATAGGACATCACAGGAAACATGCTATTTGGTGAGTAATTTACTAATACTGCTTCTTTCTCATATCTTCTGCACTGTAATAATTTATCAATGAAAAATTACAGATATAATTTATTGAAATAAGAGTTTAATAATGCGCCTTTTTGAGGGTGACATATAGTCCTAATTATAAGCCAGTTTCCAATAATGCTCCTCGCCGGTAAAATTCGGTTCTTGGAAACATAGATTTTTGTGTATTTAGGTTTTTCGTTAAAGGTAGTAGCGTCCTGTCTTATTGAAGCGCCCTAAAATCGTACAGCTCTTGTACAGTTTGTTACAATGAATTCTATCTTCCAAATTTTAGGACACTAGTGTATAATACAAGGCCTATTTCTCCTCGCTTCAGTAAACTAACGTATTAACCCTTAACTGTGTAAACCCATAGAGTGATGAATAAAGGATATCAACTTTATATTACAGTTATTATAACAGGTTTCTGCAAACTATAAACTACGAAGAACTGTTGACATTTTTCTAAAGGATGTCTACCCGCCAACTTACTGTATCCATACTTCGGTTATCAAACTGGTATAATTTCTGCATTGCCTCAGAGACTTTCCTGAACGGAAATGGGAGTGTTTGACTAAGGGAGTGTGAACCAGTATTAACTGAAATATCAATGAGATGAACTGAATGAAACAAAATTACAATGAGTTGTCAAAAAATTGTATGATCTTGTCAAATTACAGGTTGTTTGTTTGGCAATTCATTCACTAAATTTGAATATATTGTGGTATCCAATCAGATGTTTGATCCCAACTCTCCAGATGAACAACTTGAGAAGATGTATAACTTTAGTTTTCAGCAACAGTAGTGTACAATAAGCCTAAATCATGATAAACTTACGTCAGATTGAATTATTTAACATTGATCATTAAAATGATTATACTACAAAAGTGAATACAGTCATTCTCACTACTTTCAGTCCTGTAGGTCAATAGATGCATTCTGAAAATTCACGTAGAATATTTTACTCGCCAAGCCATTTTTGAATTTGGAAGAAAAAGGAGAAAAGATAATTGCAGTAAAGGATAATTTTCCTAGCCAGTAAAATCATTCTTTTAACCATTAATTCGTCAACATATAGCAGAACATAAATAAACGAGTGAAACTTGGGCACCGGTAAAATATGATTCTATTTTGATTGATTTAATAGGTGTATCTCACAATGAAATAGTAGTATTCAGTGGACTTTAACCGCTTACAGTATATTGTGTTCGAAACGTAACCCAGTAAATAATACTGTCTCATTGTGTAGTACTTCTAAAAATCAACTAAAATGAAATGTAGTAGAACATCCCAGAATAGTTACTAACCAGAAGTCAAAACGCATTAGATAACATAAAGGGAGCTACATGATATATATAGGGATTTAGAATGGAACCATAGACGGAAGATTAAAAAGTAAAATACAAATAAGTCATAAGGGAATTATCTAGAATAATCAGTTTTTTATGATAGTCATGATCTAACTTTATGAATTAATAAACCATTCGTTCAAGGTGGACTTTCTGTAAACAAATCTCCAAAATAGGTTGTATTTCTTCCTTAGAATTTAAACACTGAAAAAGTGGAATTTCCAGTTTGACTTTACTCCTGAGGTGAAGTTGATGGACTAATTGGTATTACTGAAATTTAGGAGCAGGTTTTAGTCAAATGACTTTAAAGACCACCCTAGCAACTGTTTAAATAAACAATCAACTTTTGGTATTTCGCCTGGGAAGTTAGTTTTTTATAAAATAAAGGTAATTAGTTATCCTAGCAGTAGTTAAAATGGCCTTTAAAGTCTCTCATTTGAGAGGGTCATATTCTCACCACAAATAATAAAGGTATGGTCAGTACGAAGCGCGTTAACCGCTGTTGATATGTTTGTTTTTTTGGTCTGCCATGAAGCAGCCAGTGATTAATTACTAGGTTTGATTATAAATGAATTTAAATTGAATGTGCACACACTTGTGACTCTAAAGGTCATTCTAACAAAAGTGAAATAACCCATTTAACTTCTTTATTTTATGAATAAATGCCTTTCCAGTCGGAATAAAGAAATCTGATTGGCCGTTTCGGTTAGTTCTAAGGTGACCTTTAATATCACTCGGTCTCATAGATCAAAGTTATATCTGTATTATAATTATCAGTAGGCTGCAATTGAGTATCTGAACTTTATCATTGTGACTTGAAGGAGAGTTGTTAAAATTAAACTGAACCGTCAATATGCTTACCTTCATTATTCTCGCAAATATGATATTTCAGTTCCAGTAGATACAGATCTCCAATATTTCACTGATTCGTTCTTCGATAAGGATTTAAATATTTAGTGAATGGTATTAAAAAGTGGGTATATTTTAAGTTGAAACAAAGAACAAACTACCCATTCTAATCCATAGTCACTGGCAACGATACTGACAAAAATGTTGGAGTTGCTTTTTTCTGTAAGAAGAAATTAAAATTGTGGTATGACAATATCTGCCTAAACGTATTAGCATCTCAATATACGTGATGCGATAATCTGGACACTCTTGTTTTTAGTTGCAATAACCAACAAATTTTTTTTCCAGTTAAAGCCTACAACTTTTCGAAGATATATGTGGCAACCAATTAGCACCGGTTTCTATGGTTCAGTTCCAATAGATTTCCAAGTTTACAGGAAAAAGTAGTGGAGAATTTCGGAAACAAACCTGATTTGCATAAACTTCTAAATCAGTAGTTTACAGAATCAGCATTTAGTCTATCAAGCCAACAAACTTACTAGTTGTGTTTTCTTTCCACTTCATTCTGCATCCTTATGCAAAACTAAAGTTTACCAAACAAAACTATCTTGTTCATTTCAGTTGGCTATCATAAATGGTTGAAAATATTACTTTGAATGCATGAAAACTGTTTCAAACGTTTTATGAGACAGATGTTTATAAAATAAAAAATTGCAAAAATTATCGTAAAGGTTATTCTACTATGTATTAATTATATTGTTTATTTCACTTTGTTTTGTTACAGATAAAGGCTACTGCTGAGTATGTTACATCAATAGACTTCCAGATATCCCTTTGTAATATTGTACGATTTTATCCAGGCTCTATACGAGCTAAAGCAACAGTAATAGTGGACTACATGGATAGCAACAACATCACTCAAACACAGATACTTCAAGCAATGCAACTAGGTGCACGGATGTATCTAATAAACCAAATGCAAGGTCGATCACAAGATCCTAGTCAAATAACATCAATTTTGTGTATGTTTACACAGAGTGAAGGATTAATTTGGTATAGAATATCACACATAACAATTACTAACCTTTCTTTTTAGGGGACTCATTTAATTCTGAAGCGGTATACTTCGGCGTCGTTGTAAGGTTTGAAATTACCCATGTGTGTACAAATATCTACAATCAATAGACGAAAATGATTACTTATGATAGATATACAAAGGATTGAACTATGTTGATTTCACCTTAACCTCTGAGAGTTTATCGCTATCATAATAAATAAAGTAAAACAAATTTAAAACTCATATTGTACGCAGTACACGAGTAAGCGACATAATGTGAAGGTTTAAATAGTTAGAAAAAATGTGAAAATCAACACGGTCGTGTCTACATCTGTTACAGACACCAATGAACTATAAAGAAACTTTCAACTGATTGGTGAGAAACGAAAGAAGCAAGAATGTGATGAGATTATCAACTACTTACGAGGGTGACGATAAGATAGTTATTCTACATATATTTCCATCTCTTCGAAGTATTAAAGGAGGTTTTCAGTGTACCAGTAATAAATTTGATCACTTAAGAATTTTGCCATTTCACCATACTGCTCAAATAGACGTCGAACGTCATATTATTCAAATATAGACGAGCACCTCGACATGAACCTTTGCTCAAATATACATTGGAACACTTCTATGCACTTCATAAAACAACAGACTGGACAAATTCGAAGAAATGAAAATATATATCAGAATAGGCAGAGAGAAAGATATGAATAGAGAGAAGAGGAACAAAAGAAAATCAATACAATACTTAGAATATCGAGAAGCATAAAGAATGACTACGTATGTGTCATTATAGTCGATTTTTAGTTATGACACCAAGAGTACACAATAACTATTTCTTTCAGCATCTCGAAGATTACAGTAAAATAGTTTGCAACTCTTCACATTGAAAGTGGAGCATCCTAATACTATTACTTTTATTGACGCACTACAGTGCAAAATACTTGTTCTATAATCTAAATAATTAGCCTCACAAAGAGTTTGCAAACCCCTAGAATTGCAATAAAAGGAAGAACTAACCACTAATCCTCTAATTTTCCTGTCAGTTTAATCGTACATTTGGTTTGTAGTTTTTCTAACTCTGCAATGTCAGTGTGAGCACAAAATGTTTGAGTATTCTCTTCATATTAAAATTTGTCAAACAAAGTATCCTGCCAACCATCAGTAGCGGCAGAAACTTGACCATCAGAATTCTTTTGATTGGGTGGATAAATAGCTTTAATACTAATCAAATGTGATTGGTTCTTGAACTGCTTAATACTTATGCAAAGCATCGCAATGAAGGATTGTCAGCTATGTTTTCATAATCTTGTTCGGCTTTCAGTCTTCAATTACTTCATTAACCTATCCTGAAACTGATACCACTTTTTCTGTTAAAATATTGTCAATGGTCTCCAGATACAACAAAGTGAGAGGAAATACATAAAAACTGACCATTCCTCGACAAATTGGTTGAAATATATTAGCTTTCCGTACGAAGCCGAAGAAATGACTACCATTTCTCAACCAAGTATCTTTGTCTAGTAGAAGGATCCTGAAGTGAAGAAAGTGCTATTCATTACCAGATAACCCAGAAGCACAATTCATTGAGGCGGACACATGAACCATCTGTGTAATTCATAACAATGTTTATAAGCTATTAGTGGTAATTTTCTGAAATAAAGAAGTCAAACTGTTACATTCATCTATTTACCTGTATTATCTGATTGAACGCCGACATTCACTAGGCGATAGGAGGCATGTATTTAAAAAAATTTTCTTACCTAATGGTTTGGCAGATATTCAGAACCATCTTTTTTGATAAGGGATGAAATGTTATGATCATCATTTGTTCGGGTGAATTAAGTTAGATACTTTGAAGCACTCCTTGTTTGTGCATATGCAACTGGTTAAATTAGTTTTAGATGAACTAACAATCGTTTATTGAAGTCAACCAATCACCTTTTGAAAGTATGATCTTCTGATTACTGAAGTTTTTTGTCAGTTCTAAGTAGTAGCATGGGAGGCGATGTACTTCAAAACAATCATCTGACAATACAAAACTTCATATGAATGATGGGGCTTGGCAGGTGGATAGTGAGAAAAACATAACTAGATCCCCCAAATGAATCATAACGCTTAGAAATTTTAACAGCCAACAGTTTCCTAAAAAGGCCAGCTGCTACTATGATAACAGCTACAATAGTTATAGTTTATGGAGTTAATAGCATTCATTACTAGTCAACTATTACAACTTCAATCAGAAATTCGTTTATTGATGTCTTCCTTGTAGCTCTCTTCTCCTTCTGTTTCTTTCACTTCATCTTTTGTTTCACATTATCCCTATCCAAACCACTCTGTTTCGTTTTCAGAAACCCTCATCAGTTGGGAATCTGTTATGTTTTCATGAATAATTTAACTTGTATGCAAAGTTCATTCTTATTTTAAGGGGGAAGATAAAAAGACAAAATGACAATACCAGTAGTGTATTGTTTGATTTTTAATGAATCAAGTGGATGATATTACATAATTTGAGCTTGTAGTCCGCAGATAAAAACTGATGGTTTACTGTATTGAATACCGTAAAATTATCTGATGGAGAGAATTAGTCACTTTAGTTCAGCGTTATCATATTTAGATGTTACTTGAGTGAATAACAAATGTGGTTTACCTAAGTTCTAAACCAGAATACAGGTGAACAGGAGGCTAAACCCATATCAAACTAGGTAGCATCACAATAATTCAAGAAAAAACTGTTTACATTTTGCACCAAATAGGTAGATCGTTATTTACTGTTCTCCAACAATTTATAAATATGAGTAAGACGAAGAAAATCTGTTAGCTCCACTGTACTTTGAAGTTTTTATGAAGTCTACAATTAACCGTTTATTGGAGTGTTATAAATGGGGAATAACACATCAGTATCAGCGCTAATAAGAAATGTTTTCTGTGACTATCGGAGTATAAAGAAGCATTTGAATTGCCTATCCATTTTCTGCGGCATCCAAACATGCAATTGAGAAATAATCATCTTATACGAATCTACAAAGAAACAACCTAGCAGTTGAAACAATCAGATATCTAACTGAGTTATAATATTTAATGCTAACTTGAAACAAAACGATGAAATGAAATAAGAGGATTAAAACATTCAGTTGATTCATGCATAATTTAATTTTTTAAAGAATTTAAAATAGCTAGAATGGAAACCAGACAGTAGACAATACTAATGTTAATACCAATTATAATTAATAACGATATTATTATTATTATTATTGTGATAGAGACAAAGAAAACGGTTTGAACTAAAAAGTATCAGTGATGTGTTTAAGATGAATGTATCTCACCCCGAACAAGTCAAACTATATCGCCTTAGGCATTCACTCAGTAGTTTCAGTTACCTCGACAACTTAAGTCAGGAAGAATGCAGTTATCTACATAGCCTCCAACATAAACTCAGTGATCATATCAGTCAGTGATCATCATTGACAATATGTAGAGTTTGATCTTGTGGTCGAGAAGGCCGTTAAAAATCAGTAAGTGAATCAACATCTATCCTTCAAAACTATTGAGTATCATCTTGTATCCATCTAAGTCTATGAAGATGATGATCCAGGAAATTGTTATTCATCGAATATATAAACTAAGCAGTAGATGAGTCATCCTAATGGATATAAGCCAACAGTTGATTTTCAACGAGTTTCTTGTAGAGGACTAAGAGGAATAAAGATAAGTTTGATTGAAAACTTGTGAATCACAGCAGTTGTATACAAATAGTAGCGTGTAAAGGAAACTAAAATCTATACTGTTAAAGTGATACTTTAAGAGGCTAAGAAATAAATAGTTATTTCTAATCCTCGAGGATAACCTCTCAAATAGACTTGTATCAATGGATTTTTTATAATTTTGAGGTTGTTGCTAATATATATAGAATTATCTGTTTTACCGAATTTAAGACAAATATTTCATCATACACTTTTAGTCATTTTACAGCCTGAAACGTGTGCTACATATGCCAGTAAATGTTCACCTCATGCTGACTGTTTCGAAACCTCTGATGGGACTCATTGTACGTGTAAAGCTATGTGGACAGATTTGAATCCACAACAGCCTGGAGAACAGTGTGCCTGTAAGTTTTTTGTGATATAACAGGGAGAAACATTTTTAATTGGTTTAAAAGTCACCTTTGGAATACTGGTAATAAGTAGAAAGTAGGAACAATCAATTTTGTCAAATAGCTTTCGTTATTGGTAAACTGATGTAAGAAAGAGAATAGATGCCTACTGAAGCTTTCTGTAAATTTTAGTGTAAAACCTGATAACTAGTGAGTTTCGGCCATTTTAAAGTAAAGTAAATCCAATCCAGTTTATCAACAGTTTTCGAAGTCTTTTCGAGAGATACTGAATGACAACTTGATTTCACTCAAGGAATTAATGGCTGGAAAAATGAACTCGATTACCTTTGCTCTTTCTATAAACATCCTTGCGGACAGTAGCATAACGTAACAATTACGTATGCGATATGCCGTGATTCCAATTTGGAGAAAAATTCAATGCCTATTAACTGCTAATATCCCTTTTAGATGTTTTGTATCTTAGCTGAGATTTTGTCAGTGGTGATGAGATTGTCAAAGTGAAGTGGTTCGACACATTCTACCACTTCACCGTATATCATTAAACTGGAAGCACGTGCAGCAGACCAGTCCTGGAGCATCATCTTATATTTGACAGGTGCCAGCGAAACAGCCAAACATACACAGATCTCTGCTCAACGCGTTCACATGACTGCATTTTTTCAGTGTTTTCACCCAGTAGGATAATTTCGTCTGCATACTCCAAATCAGCCAGATGACCTCCAGGGAGTAGGTCAATCCTTGTGAAGTCAAATGTACCTAAGCTTATGTCCATTACTATATCTAAAACGAAATTAAATAGGAACGCTGACAGTGGATATCCACGACTAGCATCACTAGTTGTTGTCAATTCAGATGACAACAATCTACACGGCTGCGTGAGTTCGATTAGAGAGCTTTGATTTGCGTTATATACTTGCTCAGTACTCCATTCACAGTCAGACAGTGACACAACACCTCACGGTCGTCAGTATAAAATGCCACCTTCCGGTCAAAAAATATAGCAAGTGTGGGCCATTGTCTGGTAAGTCTGGGTGTTTTTTAGAACTAGTCAAGGGGTGCAAATATGATTGATGCACCCTCATTCAGGTCTGAAACCTGTCTGATTTTCTCGAGTTTGCTGAGCCCGAGCTCCAGTTAGGTGTCGAATAAGTACCAGTCCTAGGATCTTGGGCACGATACTAATCAAACTAATTACTCTATGTGTGTCACAAGATTTCCCTCCCTCCTTTTACACTGGGACGATCAATAAAGCACACCAATCTGACGTAATATATCTGATTCCTAGACACCATCTAGTTAGTTAACAATTTCGTAACTTCGAAAGTAAACTGTCAGATCCTGCTGTTTTGCATCGTTCCAGGTTTGATATAGCTTTCTAAGCTTCAAGGAGAGTTGGAGGACTGACATCTAAGTCCCATTCAGGTTCAGGTTGGATGTTTGGCAACCGAAGCATTGCTAAGAGCCAATTCAACTGTGCTTCAAAGTGTTCAGCCCAGCGTTCTAGTCGTCTGTCCTAAGAGGCCATCAGCATCCCATCCTTTTTGGCAATGGTTTCGCTAACCAGCCCGTTGCAAAATCAACACCTTCTAATAAGAGTCATCCTTTGCATCATACAAACTGCAGTCGATGAATGTGTAGGCAGACGTTACAAATAGATATCACCTAGTCTTACGACCCCCCCCCCCTAGTCCTTACAGATTCATTCAGCACAACAGCACACAGCCAGCTGTTCACTGACATCGAGTTTGGAAGCCCACTTTCGGATCAGCAACTCAATGCTATTCCGACAACAGAGAGTTCACGAGAGCTAGGCACTAGGTCTCAAGATTTTCCTAAGAGGAATTCTGAAGACTTATTATAATGGCCAGATGAGGTCAGTTCAGTAACAACACTATTAACTGTATACGTGTCTCAGAGATGTAACGTACATTCATGGATCGGGTTTCTAGAGTTCCAGAGGGCGATACATGCGGTTCGATTTGGCATGGAGTTCTTACGTTGAAAGCTGTAACGTGAAATCTATGGTAGGGTCTTAGGAGGTTTCGATGGCTTTGATCTTTGACAATGTTCACAGAGTGAGAGCTTGGGGAGGGCGTAAGAGGCTGAATATTATTATCAGGAAGGGAAAGAGAAAGAGGATAGGTTATGTTTGATTGAGTCTTGTGTATTATTGGAAGTGTGCGGACCACTGATACTTCCCGGCTGCTCACTCCATGGAAGACTAGTTCTTCTTAAGGTATTTGAAAAAAGCGATAGTGTGTGACTACAAAACCTAAAGGACATCTTTTTGAGACCGGTCACAAACGACCTTTCAGCAAGTTTCAAATTTTGTATTTTCGCTTTCGAATTTGACCATGAATCCTTGTAGCAGGCATTGGCACACTACGAAGAGGTGGTAGTGTGCTCTTTTTGGGGCCAATCTTTTCCAACCCTCCCTTCACACAGGGAAGACAGCATCAGCGTTCCACTGAACGTCATCCAAGCGAAATATCTTACTGCTATCACACTCATCCAGTCTGCAGTTCGACTTCGCCCTCAGACATCCATCATAACGTGGCACTTTACACCATAATGGTAACTCCTTTTTATCTAACCGCTATTCAACAAACTCCACTGATATGGTAAGACCCTTACGGAACAGGCGTTATTTCAGCATAGCTCGTTTGGTCATTGTGATATACAAGTCTGGCTACCACGTCAACATAGCGGTTATCGATCGGGTGTCTAAAGATAATAGATATACGTCGTGATTAATTCTGAGGAATATCTTACTGATGACCGATACTGGCTTATTATGAAAACTGTTCTGAAGCTAAGTGAGCTACTGAAATCAATAAAGTAAATGTTATTATGAGAGTATTTATAGGGTGTTATTAAAATATTTGATCTACTACTATAACATGAAGTTTTATAGTTACTGTGTTTAAATATATTATGATAATGCAATCACCTTATCAAAACATTTTTATGTCCCAACTCTATATTCTTTTTCAGTGAGTGCAGCCGTAATAGTACTAATCGTGTTGGTGTCAGTTTTTGTCATTGTCACTTTCGCTTTAGCAACTTACTTTGCTCTAAATTCCGAAAGAAACGGTGAACAGTTTATGTATTCTTTTGTCTAAAAATGGAATTTATTTTGGATGGCTAAACGAAAAAGTCAAATCACGCAGACAATCAATTTTTATTTCCAATTATCACCGTAAATTTAAATTTTATTCGATACACCTACCTGAAAAAAATTCCTTATTCAGATACCAATTTCTCCGAAGTTGTAAAATCCAAAAACAAATGGCATTTTTTCCAGTCTTTGCTAAGTGCGTTTGATTTTAACCTCCTCATTACCTTGAGTTAACACCATGCACAACGTAGTATACAAGTCTACAACCCTTGGATCCTTCAATTTTCATTTTTCCAATTGTAATCCCATGTACATGATCTCCTGAGATGTTTGTATACACTAAAATTTACTATATGAAGTTGGCTACTTCTTTTTATCTAGTAGTACAAAACTAGACATGCAAATAATTTCGCGTTTTGATATTTAGTAATCTTTATAATTTATCTGTATTGTATCCAAAAAAATTATTATGATCAAATAAACTTCACCATTTAACTTATGACATTATTCTCCCTATTCGTGAGTAGACATACATCACGGCTATGAAGATACTTATTTCGAATATCAAGTGTTCATGTTCATGTCAAGGGATAAAGAGCAAATTAACGAGCAAATCGATCAGTCAGAAGGCAGTCAGGTTGATCTGTAGATTTCATCAGCCAGATTTAAGTGATCTTAATTTAGCTGTATGAGCTGGAGAATTTGTTTTGGTACACCGCTAACAGGCTTGGCCCAAAACGGACGAAATGGTGGCCCGGTGGTTATATCTCTTTGATGTGACTGGCTTAATCTAAACATCAGCCTGAGTGCTTTCTAACTACTCAGGTTGTTCAGTAGTATATTTCACTAGATCATGACACTTAGATCACCAGTTACACCTTGTGATCTTGGCTAGGTGGTTTCCGACCCAATCCATATTGACATCACAGGTGGGCAATTGAAAAACTACTCAGACGTGAGAAATATCAACGTGTACTGTGCAGTTTGTAAATCATTTGCAAAATGATCATCCTATATCACGCAATGATGAAATTTCGACGTCGCATAAGGATAAGAAAGGCTTTTTCACTCATATCGAGAATTTTATCATAGAATACACCCTAGAAAGCTCCTTCACTTAAAAATGAGACCTGCAAATGCTATATGCAGTGCTTCAGATTGTTATGTAAATGCATATTGTATACTGTTCTATCTGTAAGGGTTCCAGATATTGTATTCTTCTCAGATATCACACTTTCCTGAATTTATTGTATACTCGTTCAAGGTTGCGAAAACAAATGTGCGTCAAGGACACTAGACAAACTGTTCAATAAAAGATTTGCATTTATTTAAGGACAAACAGCTAAATTCACACCATGTTATTTACTAATCACTGACCATCATTGATATATATCATTATTGTCATCTGTTACTACAAAAGATATTCAGATGTCGTGGTACAAATTTTTGTAGATGTTACTTAGAACTAAGATGTGTCGTCCACTGTTCTTCCATGAAAGGATATAGTAGTGCTGGATTAGTTAGGCACATTGACTGATCACAAAACCACTAATTTCATGTTTTGTAGTGCTGATGAAATTCTATAGTTCATTTCGTAGTGTAACCATAAAGCTGGGAAACCCAAGACCGCAGTGGACTTTGAGGAATGCAGCAAAATGATTGGTAGAATTCACTTAGAACTAGATAACATTAAATTAGTGCTCTGCGGTGACCAATTAGTGGTAACGTTTCTGACTGCAGCATTGGGTGACGCTGGTTCAAATCTCAGAGCAGATATCACTTACCTTGAAGATGCAGACACACCTTGCTGACAGAAGACCTAATAAATCAAACGTAAATAAGGAGGAAAGCTCTGCTATGTAGTAGATATGCAAAAATAAAACTATAATCATCAGGACAGCAAATAAAGGTAACATCACAATGATACTGAACGCATCCGATTATGATTACAAGGCAAGCTGACGTTTGAATGGTTATCTGTACTAGAAGATAAAGGCTACAAAATCACCAGCCACGCTAAGCAAGCTGAAAACTGAAACTATCAGACTCGTACAGTCTATAAAGGACAAGTTAGATACTTCATGATGGTTTGCATTAACACCATAAAGCTGAAACCCCTGTTGATTTTATGGACCGCCAAACATTCATAAGACAAATATATGTCTCAGACCAGTTGTAAATTTTACTAACTCACGGACATGCAATTTAGCGAAATACTTATCACGAATCCTTAGACCGTACGAAAAGGATTTAAAATATATAATAAATAACTCTTCTGAATTCGTGAACAAAATCATTTCATCTTACATTGAAGAAGTTGCAGTAATGGCAAATTTTCGTGTTTGTTCTTTATTTACTAACGTGGGTATTAAAGATGTATTAGACGTCATTCATGGCCTACCACTGTCAGATACTGATCAACTTCACAGTGCCCATTAGATCCAAGAAGAATTCTAAAATCTTTGGAATTATGCTTACGATCGACTGTATTCACGCTCAGAAGGGATCTGTATCGACAGACATAGTATAGCAACGGGATCTGAAGTATCAGCAATAGTAACTAACTTGTTTCTGCATTCGTCAGAGACAAACGTAACAACAAAATGTTCTACATCTCCAAGAATTCGGTTAAAGTACGTAGATGATTCATTTGTCATCATGGAACGCAACGGTCTAGATGAACTCTTCCTCCATATAAATAGTGTGTACCGAAGTAGCACTTTCACCGAAGAAGTTGAATCCGACTTATCGAAATTAGCCTTAATGAATTGTGTGGTGGAAAAATAGCATTACAATAAACTAAAGATTAAGATTTTTAGAAAAACAACACATTCTGACAGATACCTAGATTAACAGTCTGTACATCCTTTGACAATTAAAGTAACAGTCGCGCCAAATCTGATAAACAGGGCTGTCTTGTTACGATGAAAGATGATAGAGAGGAGGAGTTAAAGTTAGTTTGCCGCACAACGGGAGCAAATAACTATCCCAAAAACTTAGTAAAACCAGTTTTTAGAAACGAAATTAAAGATATACCGAAACCCCCTCCGAAGAACTAAATAAACGCAGTCATACTTTCATTGCATAAGTAGACCTCGGAATGAATAAGAATGATTCTCAATAAGCACGAGATAAGAGTTTACTTTCGTGCAGCAAATACCCTACTGTCTAACTTAGTGGAAGTTAAAGATGAAGTGCTGAGAGAAAATCAACAGAATTGCTTTTATGATATCAGATACGCAGGTCGTACTGCTGTATATGTAGAGGCGACAGCCAGGCAAGTAAATGTTAAAGCGAGGGAGTATAAACTGGGCGTAAAGCCATAAATTTGATTTCGACGCAACCAAGGTTCTAGGTCATACCAAGAAAGATTGACAGTCGAAGCCCTACATATATGGGCAAATCCAGACGGTTTGAACGAACGAGATGGAGTAGAGTTAGCTGCCTCTTGGCAATTACCAATTAGCAAGCAGAATGTGTGACTCTACGTACTTTCAACACCCGTCTCAACTTTGTTATCTCTGCGCTATCTACAACACACAATTTGGATTAATCGCATTCATTATTATTGTCGTCACGTCTATCACTATTATCATTCATCTCCACTCTAATCCAACAAATCAATGAAAAAATTCGTTAATACTATTAAGCCCCATCTATCAACCGAAATGAAACATATGTCCACTTCATATGTTTTATCTTACTCCTAAAATTACTGAATGACTGTAATATTACCTATGACTTCTTGCCTCATATTTATAATCAAAAATAAACTGCAACATACGCTGGCGCAATTTCACACCGAATGATTGGTAATCATATTTTAGAAAGACAATGACTACATAAAGAGGGTTGGACAAGGAGATGAAATACATATCTTTGGATTCATTTATATATTGATTTTCAATTTGACAATCTGAGATAGCTGTAGTTTGACAGACCAGTATTTATACTGGGTGATGATTGATAGTGAAATGAAAACTCAAACAGTGGCTGGATTCGGACTAGAGACCACTGGGTTACCGACCCGGTCCTCTACCAACTGAGCCACGAGGTCTGACTGCTGGCCAGATCTTTATTTGACTTCATTCATCATGGGTTTCGCCCAACTACCATGCGAATTCGTGATGCCTTACTACCTGACTAGGGAGCCAATGGGAATACGATCAAGCGGTAGTAAAGCACCACGAATTCACACGGTATTCAGGGAAAACCCTTGCTGATTGAAGTAAGGTGAAAATCTGGTTGGCAGCCGGACCTCGTGATTCATTTGGTAGAGCATCGGGCAGGAAACCCAGTGATCGCTGGTTCAAATCCAGCCGCGGTCCAGGTTTTCATTTCACTTTCAATCATGTATATATACTTGATATTTTATTGATTACTATTTCCCTGAAGACTGCCGGATCAAACTTCGTGCGAAACGTTGGAATTATTGTATTTCAAACACGCTGTAACTTACACAAATGTAAACAATGTATGATGTCGACCTCTTACTCAGCGCTCAATATTTGCTATACTGTTCGATGAAGTCTTGGTCATAGTTCATATAAAGACGTACTTAAAGTTGTAAATCTTTGACCTGATAATCACCAAACATTGTCAGTTGGATGGCCACTGTCGACAGAATGTCTATCTCTAGAGTCCACATACTATACACTTGGCGATAAATAGTAGCGTTAAGCAAATCGAGTTGTAATAGGCTCACCAGCATCTCCCATTTTAGCCAATTTATACATGAAAGCACTGAAAGAAAAAAAAGTTTTGGTTTTTCAGTAAAAATAGCAGGAAACAAACAAAACAGGTATGATTAAAACAAAGTCATATCTATTAATTATAGCAATTCTGCATAGAAAACGTACCACAAAATACATCCGAGGAGTGTTTAAGGTGTATTTCAGCTGTTCAAATTCATTGGAAAAAGCTTAGTCGAGGTGAAAAATGCGCTTAAAGGCATGACGCTAAACAACTGTGTTTATAAGATAAAGTCTTTTGAACATAGAAATGATTACACACGTGAAAGTTGTAGGCAGCTTAAAATCAGAATAAATGAATACAGGTTATATAATAAAGGTCCACTAAAGAATGAAATGGAATACAAAAGTTTCGAAAAGCATGTAGCAATAATAGCAATGCATTCAAAGGAAAGTTTACGCAAAATTAACTCCAACAGTCTTGACATAATTGCAAATAGTTTTCATCCATATGAAGAGAGACTGACCTTAGAAGACATACAAATTTCAAAATCGACCCCTTATTGTTCACGAATAAACATGTCTTCTCATGTTTTTGTGAAAAAACAATGAACGATATATCTACACGCTCAATAACATGTACAGAAGGAAACACCTCAAATTCTGAGCAACAAATGACAATAATGATACGTTACTGAATTACGGGGACCTAGTAGCTCAGTTGGTTGGGCAGCAGGCTGGAAGCCCGGTGGTTGTTGGTTCGAATCCAGTCACGGTCCGAATTTTCATTTCACCTTC